TGATACCGATAAAATTTTACGCTATTAGGTATTAATAATTACCTATTGTTATTAACATATTACAGTGACTTACGAAGTTATGAATGATTAAAATTTAAAATTATTGATTTTTCTTGTGTTTTACGGCAAATAATAGCGTCATATTAAAATGTATTAAAATTTACATTTATATAACGTATATCAAGTTGTAATAATTATAATGATCTGTAGATTTATTATCAATAAATATACTTTTTTATTATTTTTATTATTAGGTACCACGAATGTGGTCGGATCGTTCTAAGAGTATTAACATACAATATATTTCGTACGGTCACGTAAAGTTATAGCCTTATAGGCTAAAACATGATAGTACTTAGGTAGGGTATATATGTTATTTAAATGACGAAAAACGTACCGTGACGTGATTCATCGGCTGGTTATAATCAATAATCATACTATATTATTGTGAAATGGTAAGAAAAGTTTGAATGGAAAACCGACTTAGAGTATTTTACCAACATGGGTATTAGAGTTATCACAACGACGAGGCAAACATAGATCTAAAAGAACAATGATAATATTATTATTAATAAAAATGTATAGAAAATAATATGTGCGTATAATAAAATAAAAATAATAACGACATCAATGATATTATGCCTAATATGAATAAATTATATGGTAGGTATATCATTGCTAGCCACTACCTACTGTTAATATTTTTCTTAWTATTTTAATTATTTATTAGGTAGGTATTGTTGATGTTGCAGTCGTAGCAAAAATAATATTTATTAGGTACAAAKTGCGGACAACAAGTTGTTTTATTGAAATATTATTTCATTATTKTAATAATATAATGTGTGTGTCTATAGATTTTATCTAGTATATATTTTTAGTGACCATTAAAAAAAAAAATTATCATTATATTATTAACACTTGGCATGTGTCTCTTGTACAAAACGACACGGAATAATAAGCGCCWAAGTATTGAACAAAAAAATGTTGATCATGGCAACAGGTGGTTGTTATTATGATCATAATATTATATTCATATTTTATGATTGCAGAAAACGCTTTAAACGAATCGCTCGCGGACGGTTATAGTACTTCAGAAGTTGAATGATAATAATATAATACTTTACCGACTTAACACCGATCAGAGGACTAATAATAATAATACACCTACAGAAACAATGATTGTGTCCCGGTGGCAGATAGATTGGTACCTATAGTAAGTTGATCGAATGTGTCGATGGAGAAAATATAGTAGATTAAGTAGGTACCAAGTACCTATAATCGAATTCTTCACGATGCAGCTCGCGGGCAACAGGTATTATTTGCCTAACATATTATTATTTTCTTAAACGGTTCCTATATAGTCTGCGAGATTCACCTCACGGACATATTTGAGCAACGCATACAAATTACTTGTTTTATAATAATTATCATACGTCATAAAAAAATAGTAATCTGCATATGATCAGTAATTGTTTTTTTTTAAATCCTAACGCAGTCTGTTGTCCACTTATCGTGTACCCGCATGTGTTATTACATAATGTATAAATATATGTATATTGTATATTAATTTCTTTGATTTGGTTGAGCGTGTTTTTTGAAAACAAAAAAATCAATTTCGATTTTTTCCACACTATATCGTAGTTGTAGTAGCTGGTATACGACGATCGGCGAGCGCGCTATTGTATTATAATCTATACAATTATTATTTATTTTAAATAATAAAAAAATTCGTTGACGATGATAATAACAATAACAATAATAATGATAATAATAATAATAATAATAAATAATAATAATAATAATAATAACAATAGCGTAAATGTAGCTATAGTAAGTTTTATTTTTTGAAAATAGTAATGATAATAATAATTATTAAAAGTTCTAACAGCGAGTTAACAACAAAACTGTAACGTTAGAACGATGTATAATAATATAATATAATATGTCATAAACAATAAACATAATAATATAATAAAAGCAGATRTTTAAAAAAAAAATATAATATAGGTAATATTATAATGTATGAATATTAAATTTAGTATCTACCTATTTAAAATTAAACTTAAATTGTATCCATAAAATATAATTATTCGAAAATCGAAAGTACCTATTTATAATACTTATCACGCGTCTACCCGTAATTACTATAGTTTTTAGGCGATGTGACGTTTTGTAATAATATAATATATTATATTTTCACTTCTAAAATATAAATATTTTATAACGATATGTCGATATAATATTTTACTTTTCATTAATATTAATTGAGTTTTGTTTTCAACGTATTATCGAAATATAATAGAGTGCACAAACTAGAAATGTACATAATATTACCACAGATTATATAAAATATATAATTTATATAATATAATATATTTTTATATAATCTGTGATATTACTATTATTATTATTATCAAACAATGTCGAATCTCGTTTTACTCGAAGAATTTATATAATATGTAGTGTATAGAATAAACAACGAAATTTATCACCGAAACTGTTTCGGTTTGGTCGGAATTTAGTGTTTGTGCGGATTGAAAAATAGAACCGACATTCATGGTAGTTATTATTTTGGATTTGGAGAGAAAATTCTACGGAAGGGACATGGCGCGTCGAGGATAATAATATATATAGKTACTTACGTTTGGATTTATAATCAATATACTTACTAAAATAAATGTGTACATTTTAATGTCTTTTCCTTCAATTTTTATGATAATGATATTGTTAATATTAGTATAATTCTACACGTATTTATTAATATTATTATTATTTTTATTTTATTTCACAACGTCGTCAAAGTCGTGATGAGCAAAAATATTTGATTTCGCGGCAAAGTGTGTAAATTAAGTAAGCGTATACTCGTGTGTATATCTTGTATATTGTGTTAAAATGTATTATATATATATATACTATGTAATTTCTTCTATACCATATATGGTATTATTTATATACATATATGTCTACAAAGTATACAATTTATAAGTACACTTATGTAATATTATATATATATCTATTGTATATTATAGTCGCTTTTATGATTTAATACATTCGTATAAATTAATTTGCTTAGGTGACTGGTTACTGAGTAAAGAGTTTATATTTTATCGATATATAAGAGATATGTGTAGAATTATTCTCGTTAACAAAAAAAAAAAAAAATATAAAATAATGATATTTAAAAATTAGAAGAGTAATAATAATAATAATTATGATAATATTAATTATATAATATGAAAGTAAAACGAGAAATTCTTAGAGTCTGTTGGATTCGGTCATCCCATTGACCAAATAGTCCTGGTTGTCCATTCTCGCATCCTGGCTAATTCCTGCTCCGCTGTTCAAGGCCATTTTTTTCATCTGTCTCACCACCGTTGTCGCGTGGTATGCTTGCTGCAATCAGTAAATATGGTACAATCGGATTARACACATCGAAAGTAATGACAGCAACAAATAATTAAAAATTGGTTAATAATACGCTTAGTTTCAAAAAAAAAGATTCCTACTTTAATTAGATTTATATAAAAAGGAGGCAAATGAACTTTAAAAAAAATTTAATTTGGTTTGTATTCTAAACAGTTCTATTAAGGTTATATTATATTTAGATCTGAATAGGTATGCTGTTTCAACATAGAGTTCAATTTTCATACAGTCTCACTAAATAAGACAATTTACTATACTCACACGACGTAAATGTATGTCACACCTTTCAAAAATCCATAAACTAATTTCCTCAAATGTAAACAGTATCCTTGAGCAACTTATCGGCTATACAATATTTCTCTTATGATATAATCACAGATTATAATTATAATTATATATAATTATATTAATTTATATTATTTTATAATAGGTATATTAGGCCAGTATTTTGTGTTTGATTTTGTTAAACGTAATTCGGTGATTCAAATTCAACGATTCCGTAAAAAAAAACAAACGCTTCATAATGAATACTGATGTTATATGTAATAGGTACTACATAAGATAATAATAGGTACCTACCTATATAGAAATACAAACATTGCAATAATTGATAAGGTAGACTTAAAATTAAAATAAACTGTACATTTGTTGTTATAACATATTAGTAATACAATATTTGTTTTATACACAAACAAAGCACAAATAATTGTGAAACTATACTCTATTATATTGTTGTAGGTAGCCAGGTAGGTATAAACTATATAAGATACACTAAATAATATAGTCAGTATTATTACTATATAATACTATTTACTAATAATTACTGCATTCATCGCAAAACGACCTAGTTAACAAGTGCATGCAAGATAGATAAGATGCTTTCCTATATTAAAAGCTAATATTTGTCACGCATTGATGGTGAAGATTATTTTCGGAAAATTTGTCGTTGGGCAACACAATAATAAGCTTGAAATCCATGTAACCCACTACTAAATTGATTATGGTTGAAAACTTATTAAGAAATATCGAGTTGTACGTGGTACGTCTCATAATTTAGAACTTACAACTTACATTGAATAGGTACTTATAATTCGATTATATACTAATTAATTTAACAGTTAAAATATTAACTTATATTTTGCTTTCATCAAGTAGGAACATTCCCGGATGAGAACAAAAATGATGGTATTTTAATATTTAATCAGAATCAGATATTATTCTCACAAAAATTTTAATCAGTCGTTAAATATTCATCATAATACATTTGCCCGCCGTTAGCACAAGTGGTTCATTGTCGAACGAGATTAAAATAAATAATTTTATCGCTGCTTGTTACCTATATTGTAGGCAATGAATTACTTGTTGGATTACATTTTTGATATTTGTTTCCTTTCATAGTTCACGGTTAGTAATTACTTAAAAATTAAAAATATTGCACTGCAATAATTAATTAATATCTAATTTGGGTAAGTGATCGTCAAAAAAAAAAAAATAATAATAATCTGAGTAGGTACATTATTCAATATGGCGTATTATTATTGAAAAAAATAACAAATTAATAAGTAATTGTAAAGATACATCAAATATTGTTATAAACAAACACGTGTAAAATTTCTTTTCAAGGAATTAATCTAAAATAAAATATTCACTTTTATAGAAACATGTGTTATGCGATTTTTTAGTAAGAATTGTGACGTTAAACTATAAAAGATTATGTAAAACTGAAACCTTTTTTTGGAGTAACGACAAAATGTACAATATTCATTCCCTCGATATTTTTAATACTTTTGTACTTGCCAAATAGTAAATGACGGTTGTTTTCTTATCAAAGATAATACGAGTATATTTTATATGTGTTTATGATTGTTGTTATTTTTAATWAAGAGATTGGCCAGGAGAGATTTATATTGCATTAGTTTATATCTATCTGTCCTCCAGAGGGTTGCGCAAGGGAGTGACTTAGCAGTTGACAGGAATTCAAACAAATGAATAGCTCTTGGGCATTATGGGTTGAGCCTTAAGCATCATTTAATATGATATGTCATCATTCAAGTACCAAGTTTCGGACRTTATCTTTGATCGTACTCGAATATAATTTTTTTTCTGCCATTACTCACAAGTAGTACCTACGTCTACTAAAAGGTTTATTTGATTATGTCATAAAATAGTTTCTAATGATAATCATAAGTAATATTATTTTTAACAAGATAACATTAAAACGTGAGATACACTGAATAGATTTGTCAAGTAAGATTATTCGATAGTATTCGATGTATAACTTAAAACATCGAAAGAGTTAAATATATTTTATCGGTTCATATTTTTCAAATTAATGTCTTAACGCATTTTGGTTKTGATATATTATCTTATTTTAATTTTGAATTATTAAATAAAAGGAGAAGTTACTTTCATTATGTATTTTTACAAAGAAATATTAAATAATTCTATATGTTGACCTTATAGGCAAATAAATATACTAAATATAGGTATAGGTATTAGAAAACAAGATAGTTATTCAATGAATTATGTCTCTAAGGCATATCTACTGCAATGATCCCCTGCAAATATATCAACAGCAATGGAAATACTATACGGAATTTAATTTTGTTGTATGTATTATAATAAAATATAATATAATATTAGTATAATATTATATGTAATATATATATTATAATATATTTTATTATTATTCTGACTAGCAACAATTTTTTTTGTTTTATCATTTTTATGTACATAGAGATTGTTTTGTAAATTGTTTTTACTCTATATAATATGAAGAAATAATACTAATTATTATTATTGTACTATGTCAAAGTAGGACGTAGGTATAAAAGGTGACTATTATTATTTAGTATTTAGGTATATTTATTTCGGTTTAAAAGATTAGGTGCTTAAATAATACAATTACAAACACTGCTTGATACTAATTATCATTAGGAAATATTAGCAGACATCTATATATAATATTGCATTTTTGTTTTACATGTCATGGTCGAGATGCAGTTACAATTGCACTATATGCGTACCATATTATGTCAATTGTGTATTTCCGTGCGTGATCTACAGCAGAAATTAAAGGTATACATAAAAGCATGTATATTTTGTTTAGATTTATTTATTTATTTACATTTTGTATCAAGGTACCYATTTATTAAATAAATAATATTATGAACAGCATCGACATGAGTGGGTGTACCTATATATAAAGTGCATATTAGCAAGTGTTGTGATCGTATACGAATTAAATAATTCATGAGTTTACTTGTACATAATAGTATAATATTTAGGTAACTATATTAAACAGATCGATTCATATTGATTACATGACGACGTTTTTCAGAGTCAACTATAAAAATATATTAAAAACAACAAATCATTCAGGGCCAGCGTAAAACCGTTTTAAAATTATTTTGCTCTTTATAGAGCCCACTAACTATAATTTAAGGCAATATTAAAACTAGGGATTTCTATCGAAAATAAATCCTAAATATATAGAATATCTTATATGATGGTACTTGATTGATTAAAAATACGTTGAAAACTTTAAACAACGTTAAACATGAAATAATCTATAATTTATGGTTGATATGCATTTCACGATTTGAATAATTTACTATACAGTGATACACTGTTTATTGTCTACGCTAATTTATATAAGTAATTATAATATAATACCATAAAACATCACCTATACGATCACTGATTCACGTCGATGGCCAAGTGGATATTTTAAAACTGAGTTAAGTTAATATTTTTTCCATATTACTACTATTTATTGAGTTAAATTTATAATTTGTTAACTGTTAACTTTTAACTTATCAATCATGTATCCTGTTAACTTAACTTGATTTAATTATTTTCATTAAATTTACCACTTTTGGTCAATTTTAGCTTTTGGTTATGTTTTTTTTTAAGTACTGAGTATTTATATTTAAAGAGATACTGAAAGAACATATTTTAAAATACTTGGATTTATTTTTTATCATTTAAGGATCGTGTTTTGAAGTGTGACAAACTTATATTTTTCATTCAATAATCCCATTTTTCTACAGTAAAGTGTTACTGTAGATAACTTTTTTTTAATAACGTTGATGCATCTTAATTCAAATTTGAATGAGAAGTTTCTGAGTTATGGATCTTTAAGTAAGTACTAATTAACTTAAGTTATATTCATAGTTTAATGGTTATCGTACTTGAACTAGCGGCGTAGGTACTGGCGTGTATAAAAAAATTGATTTTGCTAATAATAATAATAATAATTTTAGGTAACCTACCTTTTAATATTGTTAGAATTACCGATAATATTTCTCATATTTTACTTTCAACAATATRCCCACCTATCCATATTTAAGGTGTTTTATCGATGGTGAATATGAATATTATTATTATTATTATAAAAAACAATATTGAGTATAGAATCATCCCTGTTGTTTCCTTTAACAGAAAATCTTACAAACATATAGGTATGTTGATATTGATTTTGAATTTCAGTATCGAAAATTTATGTATAATCTCGATACATTTGAATACATTATTAATTTATTATTATTGTTCTGGCAGAGTAAAAATATTTCTTATTTTCCATTCGTTCCGCAGTTTTGTCAATTTGTATACTTAGCTACTACACAGTTTTTCATTTCAAATGAGAGGAATAACAAATGATCAAATTCATCGAAGGAATGCTTCTCTAATTTCGGGGCTTTTGTGAAATCACATTTCAACTTTAATTTCGTATGACAATTCGCTGAATACTTGACGAAATTCGTAATATGAATCATAATTCCAACACTGACTGTGTTCCTACAAATAAAAAGCAGTTTGATGAAACTCCTTTTTCAATAATCTGGAACAATATAATTTAATTCAATAACTATACGCAAATAATTATACTATTTGATGAATTTTATAATTGCATACACACATAGGCGGCAGCGTTAAACATCTTCAAATTAGAATTTCTAATGTGTATA